TTTTTATGTTCATGCCCGTGCTTGTCTTCTTGTGTTGATTTGCAAAATCGGACTTGAACATGTTTTTCGAGATTGATCAATAGTGGTGCTTAGACATGCCATTCATTAGGCCTATGAATGTATTTTGGGCACACGTAAACATGAAGATGATGCTCACATCGATAAACAGATATACTATCACTGTACAGAATGACATTATGCGTGTGAGACTGGGTTGTATAATCTGCAAAATTGGAGCTTGAATTTGTTTTACAATGCACCATATTTGTAGATTGATGAAAGGTGTAGGAAGAACCTGCAATCTATTATTCTGATGGAATCCCAATTTTTCATTATTAAAGAGTAGATGTTTAGTGTATGAGTTTTGTCTTTCAGGTACAGCAAAGTTGCTTACCTGGATACTGATGTTGGGCAGACGGAATTTACTCCTCCTGGTCTTCTATCGCTCACTGTGGTTGACAAAGTAACTCCAGGTACATTTATAAATGGCATTAGCATTTGTCTGATGTTCTCCCTTTATTATTATTATTTTTTTCTTTGTCCTGAGTCTATTTTATGTTTTTTTTTTGTCTGAGATTAAAGTTTTCTAATAGTTTTTCGTTTTTTCTTGTTATTTAGATTTGATAATTCCATGTCTCAAAACCCCCGACAGGTATAAATCATTTAAACTTTTATTTTGATTATTTTCTATTTACATCTACTAGAGAGGAATATACAATTAATACACTGTTTACACGTTTCTGTGGCTGGAAGAGATACTTTCGAGAACAAATTTGATAAAAGATTAGTTTTTCAGACGTACACATATTCGTTTATATCTTTTTTGTAGGTTGTCATCTGGCAACTTTGTTCCCCTCCAATAGCTGTTGTTTAAATAATCGCTTGTTTGAAAATGCTAATGATAATCACATCAGGAGAAACACAGAATTTTGCTGGTAGTAGTCGTCTCATTATATTAATGCATTTGGTGTTCAATTGTTTGTTCGTACAGGCTTCTTTGGAAGTTCATGTGAGTTTTCACTTCTCATAATAATTATTGAAGTTTCATTCTTTGGAAATAAACCATGAAATTCATATTTTCATGAACAATTGACTCTTGAGCCCTTGGATTTGATAGATATAGAGATTATGTACTGTATGTACTGCGATATATTGATCTGGTGTACCAATAATCAATAATTTGTCTAGCAATTCTCTAGGGACACAACATTATATGTGGAATATGTAATTCTGGAGGTTTAGTGCATATTTTCAGCTACTTAAGCAATTTTTCTATCAAATATATCGAATGAACTTTATCCGATTACTATTTTTTTTAAATGTCGTTTCAGATGCTTTTTCTTTGGTGATATCTCCTCCAAAAGGAACCCAACAGCCTATTTGACCAGCATATTTTCCCTGTACGATCACTATCGGAAAGAATATTGTACGAAGAGCAAGACTGATGGCCAGGACAATGCTGGATTGCCACTTGTCATAATACCCCTGGCTGGGTTAAAGGTTTTTTCACTGTTGATCCTTCTCTTTCTCCTTGGCCTTGTGCTATTTTAAATTTTATTTTTATTATGACTCATGCTAAGCATTTGCTCATTCTCGTATATATAGATGACCTACGGTCTTCTTTATTATTTGTGTCAGGTATTGGTTATGAAATACTGGTTGACATGTTGAAGTATATGTCTACTACACACGTGGTTACAATTTGCATATCATCTGTGATCAAGAATTTACCAGCTGGGGCATTTTGGTTAGATGAGGGAAGTACTGATAGAGTTACCGTCACTGAGATCAATTCCGCTCGTTGGGATCATTTGAAAAGATCGTATGTTCTTTGCTTCTTCAGAAGTTGTTAGTTTGCCCATCGTTATTTTCTAAGAATTATACTATTTCCAGGTTGCTGGTACAAAAAGATTCTCGTCTTCTGAGAGATCTACGTGTAATGGCATATTTTAGACAATGCTTTCCTAGTGAGATGAATATCTCTACAATTAAGGAACTTGCTCGTGCATTAGCTGCTCACCCTCCTTATGAAATTTCTATGTCAAGTGTCAAAATGAAACACAGTCATTGTGAGGTACGCTCAAAACAGTATTTGCTTTAACATCTATATTTGTCATTTCTTTCTAATTTACAGTGGTCATAAAATTCCAAGGATGTCAACTGCGATATACATCCTTCTTATTAGAGCAATGTTAACTTTACTTCTGGTTAAGTTTACTTTTATATTGGATTTACTTAATTTACATATCCATATGTAGGAATGAAAATTTTCAAATAGTACACTATCTTACTGTTAGGTTTCAAAAACTGAAACTTTCTACAGTTTGAATGCGGCTATTGTTGGTCTGGCAGTTAGTTCAGAAGTTTCCGAGCAATCACCTCTTTGTGTTGGTTTGGGTTGGTCACTATGTCTGAACTTTTTATACTTGTCCTGTGCTGCTTTTGATTCTCATTCTTCTTTTATTAAAGTTTATATTTGAATAATCTATCTTTATATTATTTCACGTGAAGGATCAGTTTGCTTTATCTGAAAACCAGGAATTGTGAGAGGCATTGACACTTTCAAAGGTTTGCTCTACGTTAATACCCCCGTCCCACAGCAGACTCTGGAGGATGTTGATCTTTTGCTTCAGGGCTTCGTTCAAATTCCTACTTGTTTACTGCAGGTACACCTCTTTACATGAAGCGTCTTCTTTTCAGTTTTGCAGCATGCAAAATTATATTAAAATCTATGCACAAGTATTTTATGGAGAAAGAAAAGTTAGAAAGATTAGGACGAGCTTTATTGATCTCCACAAGGTCTGTTTCTTGCAAAGTTCTTAGTGCCTATCCATTTCTGTTCGTCTAAGAATTCTTTAGTGCATTCTTATTCATGTTGTGTACTTGATCTTGATGAGATTCCACTAGAAAAAGAAACTTTAAGAGAATGAGATTTATATTTGCTTCCGTTTCTGCTTTAATCCAAGGCAATATATGGACTTCATTGAAACATTAAAGTTAACCACCCCATGCATATTTGTAGCAATCATCCACTATTGATAGCCAAATAAATCATCAAATCGCTCAATAATCCTCCATTATTAGCAAGCGTAGCCATAATTTGTGATGACCCCACATTAGAAGCAGGCCGCGTAAGGTTTGAAATGAAGGTCTAATTTAATGCTCAATTGAGATTAAGGCTGTGGCTAATTTTAATTGATCATTTCCAGCCTTTGAAATAAGTTTTTTCGTATAGGCGAACAATCAATTATATGTAGACTTTTGATTTCTAATTGACTGATGACGATTCTTGAGTTCTGGTAATGTTTTCGTATATTTGGGGTTATTTCAGTTTGCTTGCCCTATGAACATCTAGTTGGCTATAATGATTCTCGAATTTGTCTATCATATATGCACAGTTCCTTCAAACGAGTCTTATGTTTGTCTAAGATTACTTCATCCTCCCCTTCTGTTTGATATTATTGCCATTTTTGCATGTTTAGCTATTCGAAATCCCTCTGTTTTTAATTCGAACCATCTGTTCTTTCAGGTACAGGGCTGTATTTCCCCTTACATGTCAGCAAACGTCCTATCTACTAATTAAGAGCAAATGCCAGCAGTCGAAGAGTTCCTGTACAGTCTCTTCTACAACTATCCGAGATAGTAGCTTCTCCGTTTGCATCGTGTTGGGCATTTATTACTCTAAACCTGCGTTTTCTGTAATTTGTTGATCTAAAAAAAAGTTATCTCTAGAGAGATTGGACACTGCTAAATTGCCATTCATGTTTATTCTCCCTTACGTCGAATCCAGTGTACAAGACATGTTAAGGTTATCTCTGTATGAGCTCGTGACACTAATTGACCATAACAGGTTGAATTTAACTCTTATGCCCGACTTTTAGGTTCCACAACTTATCTAAAACATGTATGACTTTTCCTTTTTTTTGCTTATAAGAAGCTTATCTTTTCTATTTTTTTTCAGACTGCCCAAACATGCTCTTAGTAAGTTCAGTTCTCGTCTTCTTCCATGAAGGCAATTGGTCGGAGTTGATTCTCTGGCAACAAAAGTGAATAATATGTTTTGCTCACTTTACGAAGAATCTTTCGAAGCGAATTTTTTTTTCCTTCAAAATTTTGAAGCACAAAACGTTTTGAGGGCGGTAATTTGTGACCATTCCGGCGTGGTGGTGGCTGCAAGGGAATCTCGGTTGTGGGGCTATTATTCACGGGAAAATGCAGAGGTCCTCGCCCTCCGTCATTGCCTCACTCTTGATGAACGTTGCGCACTCCGGGGGTCGATGTCGGATGCAAAGCACTTTAGGTTATCCAAAGCGTAAAATCTAACTTCTCTCAAATGCTTTGAATATTTTAGCATAAAGTAATGAAGTATCTCTCATGCTCGGAATGCTTTAGTGTAAAGTGATGTTATAGTTCTTAGAACATCTCCAATCGTAGTGTAAAATATATCTAAATTGGGATTTAGATTTTTAAAGTGACCGGAAACATTTCCAATGGAGAGATGTGAAGGAAATGCATCACCGTTCATTTTGTCAGCCGTTAGAGACTATGCTTCCTTGTAAAAAGTTCGGTACTTTTATTTTTTTATTTTTTTTAAAAAAATGTTATTTTCTCAAAATTATAGAGAAAAGTGCTAAATGGCATGGTAAAGCTTCCTTATTCTCATAGGTTTGTTGAGCGATTGACCGTTAATTCAGGTAAATGGTCAGCTTGCAAATTTTCCATACTTCAAACAACCTTTATACCATAAATAGCCCAAATCAACAGCACCATTCAGTTTTTCTGCAACTATGAATAGGACAAATTCTGTTTTTCTTCTTCTTCCTCGTACAAAAAGAAGAGAGAGAGAGAGAAATATAGAGAGAAAGGTCATGATCTGGGGATGGTTATGATCTATCTCATTTAATTTCTCACTTTTCGTTTCCCTCATTCTTGATTCCCTCCAAACAGCCGCATTTCTATAGTTCTACGAGTCAGGTTTTTTCCTTGGTAATTGTGTCAAGATGCCGGCTAAATCGTTTAACAGCTTTGTTGAAGAGAAGCTGGGAAAATTCCCACATTTTGTGATATATGCCATTCTTGAATGGGTGATGATCATTTTGCTATTCGCCGATGGGTTCCTCGCCTTCATTTCCAATGAATTCGCCAAGTTTTTCGAATTGAGAATTCCGTGCTTGTTTTGTACGAGGATTGATCATGTTCTCATTCATAAGCATTCGAGTTTTTACTACAACGATTCCATATGCCAGGTTCATAAGAAGGACATCTCGTCCCTCGCATATTGCCATGTGCACAAGAGGCTATCTGATATTCGTAATATGTGTGAAGGTTGCCTTCTTTCGTATGCAACGGAGAAAGATTCTGATTGCGAAAAGTACAAGTCTCTAGTAGGGATTTTGCACAAGGATATCAATTTGTTCGTGGAGGATAATCCAAGAACAACATATATCAAACCGGGAAAGAAGGGTGAAATCGAACAGTTTGACAATAAGGCTGGGATTCTCAGATGTTGTTGTTGTAATGAGCCTTTAAAAATAAGACCCTCCTCACAGTATAACAGAAGTTTATCAATGAATGCTCCAACTCCATCTCCTCGGGCAACCTTACTAAAAAAGGAAGAAGGACGAAACATAGAATTGCCTCACTATAGGTACTCAGAGCTTAGATTCACATCAGACGCCGAATCAGTACTACCTGAGGAGGAATGTGCTTCAAATGGAGATAATCAGAGTGAGTTACATTGCCCTTCTGTTTTCTTTGATCTCTTTTGGGATAAACTATTTATATTCTTGTTTGCACCGTTCTATCATGTCTAATACTGCATACCAAACATGCCATGAATCTATTAACGAAAGTAATCTTATCGATGATTACTTGTTTCAATGTTCATTATTGAGTTTCTAATTGATTCATTTCTCGAATCCTCAGTATGTAATGAAGTTGTACTATGTACATTTTTGACACGAATTATTTATTTCTGTTGTTTTGAAGTAGGTAGAGAATATATGAAACCACTACTACCAGATTCTGAGGATTATGAAGATTTTTGCAAAACTCCAAGTTTTGTCCGAGGAGGAAACAAATTTTTTGGGATTTCATTGTCCGATTCAACTCAAGCCAGTCCTAGATGGGCTAACAAGGGAGCTCGAAAACAATTGGTCGACAACTTCTTTTCCGAGCTTAATGACTCAAATGCTCCAAATGAGATAGACAACATGTTGAGTCGTTTGAAGAGACAAGTTCGTTTGGATCACAAGTCCCTGATAGATTTATACATGGAACTAGACGAAGAACGAAGTGCTTCTGCAATTGCTGCGAACAACGCAATGGCTATGATTACTAGACTGCAAGCAGAGAAGGCTGCTGTCCAAATGGAGGCCTTACAGTATCAGAGAATGATGGAAGAGGAGGCAGAATATGATCAGGAAGCTCTGCAAGTAATGAAAGACTCGCTGTTAAAAAGAGAGGAAGAAATAAAGATTTTAGAGTCTGAACTCGAGGTGTATAGAGAAAAATACGGGCAGATCAAGAAAATAGGCAGTGACAGTGTTGAAGCCGATGCTGATGAAAATTATCAAGAAATAAAATCTCAGTCCTTGTCGTCGTTTGGTGAGAAATCAGACTGTGGTAGCTCAAGTGGAGCAGATCAAAATGAAAAAGAACGTCCTTATGATAGAACAATGGAATATGGTGGAGAGATTTCGGATGAATCACATTTAGATTTCGAGAGTGAGAGGTCTTATCTTTTAGGTGTTTTGACTCAACTCGAGAAAAAGATAAACGCGCCTTTGGATGAAGGATCTGATTCCTTAGAGGTAGATACACCTATGCTTGAAGACGGTACTAAAGTCACGCTTAGAAGAGAAGTTTCTACTATTAGGGAGAGGTTGAGAGCTATTGAAGCAGATAGTGACTTCTTAAAGCACATTGCAATGACACCACAAAGAGGCGGTGAAGCAACTAAACTCTTGACCGAGATAGCACATCATCTTCGGAAGCTTAGGCACTCGAATAAAATTTCATCAGACGACACAGATGCATGAGATTTTTGTCCGAAAGATGACGTCTTACTTGATTTTTTCTCTTCTCCTTCATGGCGTGACACTGTCGACATATTTGGTACGTCATATTGTACAAGATTAGACAGTATAATAAATAATATTTTAGCTTCTTTTTTGTGTCCAATATTGTCCGATCCACCTCATCAAACACTACGTTTAAATTCATCACATTATAACTTATATCAACTTTTTTGTTTGCAGTTCCTTCTTATTCTCTTTTCAATTCCTGTCTCTCGTATTAGGATGTATATACCTATAGCTTTACTGGACGAACATTGGAGTCCTGGCTTGGATGTTTCACGGAGCTCTTGGTTCTCGTTTCCTCAACATAATTCGGTAAAGAGGCTTCATTGATTTTGAACTTCGAATCAAGAATCTAGTACTTTTTATATGATTGTAAATAATTGCAGGTTGCAGATTTGTGCGAGAATTCTCTATGCACGAAAACGTGGCATGAAGATGAGGAAGCCTTGATGTCAGAAGAAAGCTGTTCATCCACAAAAAATCTAAATTTAGCACAGATATGCAAAGGATTCGTTAGCTGATCGAAAATGGACCGACTTCTTGTAGACATCCCTTCACAGATCACAGATACGGAAAGGAGTCGAAATTTAGCAATATCACGAGAAATTTAGAGAAAGGGGACATATAAACCTCAATGCTGATAAGCTGCATTACATAAAATGAGTCATGAAGTCTTCGATACAATTTAGATTCATTTTTAGTTTTGTTGATTTTTCATGGACGAGAATATTCTTTCTCTAGAGTTCAGAAACACACTTCCAATGGAACAGGCTTATGATTGATTTCTTGTTCAATGGTTTTCATCAGTGGCTGAATTTGAATATTCATGCATTTAACAATCTGTTCATCACATCAAATGAAACTTTCGAGTTAGAAAGGCATCTGGATAACATCAATAAACTAAGTCTCATTTTCAATAAATTTGGGATTGATTATATGAATCGTTTCTTGCATTTCCGTACCTTATCCTGTGCTGTTTTCTATTGTGAGTTGCTTAGTGTATACCTCCAAGTCGCTCAAATGGATTTAAGTCTTGCCCCATCTATGCTCCTGATGAGAGGTTAAGCTTCAAATCCCAGTTTGAACCGGATGTTGGCGCCATGCTAATGTACTTTGGATGATCACATCTCAAGATCAGCACCGATGAACATAATGAAAAATCCATGAGACTTAAAGTCCTTAGGTACAATAATACAATTATTGCTCTTTCACTCAGCTAATCGCTCCGTCATGCCACCTCCCATTGGGGTCCACCATGCCAAAAGCATCTTCGTAACCTTTCTTAAGTCTAATTCAAAACTCCCAGGACAAATTCCATTTCTTTTGTAGCTGAAAAGTAGTACAAAGACTTTTTAACTTCTTTTTCTTCCTTTTTTCAGCCATTTAAACTAATGCATATGTTATGAAATGGATTGCAAGATAATGACAATAATGAAATAAAAAAGAAGAAAACAAGAACACAAGAATTTACATGGAAACCCAATTCGAGAAAAGACCACGGGCAGATGAGAACAATCTACTATAATCAATAGTTTTGTATTTATAATATCAAGATTTCAATAATCTCAATTGAAATCTAAATTCTCAATATCTCAATATGTTGTTGAAAATGTAAAGAATAATATATGAATGTTGTATTATGGAGATACAGTGTGACTATATATAAAACTTTTTATTTGAATCCAAGATGGAGAAGGAATCCAAAATATGCTTTTAGCCATTCAAGAGTCCTCCTTCAAGCCAAACTCCTAATTATTATTAAAATTTGATCTTCAATCATATTAGAACTCTACAAACCCAGATACCTTAGACTTCCTCCAATCAACAAAATACTAAATCACATGGAATTTGGATTACACCATAACAAATCTCCTCCTTGAGCCAAATTCCGTCGCAATGAATTAAAATATATCTTCAAAACACAATTTCTTCTCTTCCAAAGCACCAATTAAGTTCAAGCAATGCTCAAACTTAAAAATGGGAAGTGGTTTTGTCATCATATTAGTAGGATTATCCTTGGTATCAACCTTGCTCACTACAATATCACCACGAGCAATTACATCACGCACAAAATGATACCTCACATCAATGTGCTTAGTCCTCTCGTGAAACATCTGATCCTTAGTGAAGAAAATTGTACTCTGACTATCACATAATACTATAGATATCTGCAACTCTTCACTGATTTCACCAATCAATCATCTCAGCCACATAGCCTCCTTACATGTCTTAGTAATGACCATGTATTCTACTTCTGTTGTAGATAAAGCCACCGTATTTTGCAAAATAGCTTTCCAGTTGATAGCACAGCCTCCAAGAGTAAACACATACCCTATAGGCGATCATCCACATAACTGATGACTCCATCTGAATTTCTACCAAAATGCAAACAGCATTTGAAAAGCCCCTTAAGTATCTGAAGATCCACTGCACTGCTTTTCAATGTTCCTTGCCAGGATTAGCCATGTATCTGCTAACTACACTAACTGCATGTGCCAAATCAGGTCTTGTACAAACCATAGTATACATGAGCGAACCAACTGCACTGGAGTAAGGAACCCTAGACATATAATCAATGTCTTCATGTAACTGAGGACACAAGTTAGATGATAGTTTGAAGTAGGTAGCCAAGGGAGTACTAATAGCTTTAACTTTCACCTCATGAGCGAACCAACTGCACTGGAGTAAGAAATTCAAGACATATAATCAATGTCTTCATTTGATTATGGACGCAAGTTAGATGATAATTTGAAGTGGACAGCCAGGGAGTACTAACAGTTTTAACTTTCACCATATTGAATCTTTCAAACACCTTTTTAATATACAATTTCTGACTCAAATACAATCTGCTAGCCTTTCTATCCCTCAAGATCTCCATTCCAAGAATCTTCTTTACTGCACCCAAATCTTATATGTCAAACTTCTTGCTGAGTTGTAATTTTATATTTCTGACCTCTGCTTTATCCTTGACTGCTATGAGCATATCATCAACATATAATAACAAATATGTAGTTGATCCCCTTTCCTTTCTGAAGTACACACAACTATCAAAACCACGAGTATTCATGAATGAATCAAACCTCTTATACCATTGCCTCGGTGACTACTTTAATCCATACAATGATTTTTTCAACAAGCACACACAGTCTTCCTTTTTTGAAGCTATGAACCCCTCTAATTGTTGCATGTAGATGCTCTCCTCAAGTTCTCCATGTAAAAATGTTATCTTGACATCCATTTGCTTAAACTCTAAATCATTCTTAGCCACCACTCCAAGTAAAGCCTGAATAGAACTATACTTCACAACTGGTGAGAACACATCTGTAAAATCAACACCCGGAATCTGACTATAGCCTTTTGCCACCAATTTAGCCTTGTATCTAGTATCTTCAATCTCTGATGTGTCTTCCTTTCTTTTGAATACCCATTTACAACAAACCACTCCTTTTCCTTTAGGTAATTTCACTAAGTCCTAAGTGTTATTTTTGCTCAATGACTCCATCTCCTCCTGCATAGCAATCATCCATTTGCTAGAATCACTACAATTGACTGTCTCTGAATATGTAGCAGGCTCCTCAGTGAAATCAATGCCTTTAGCCACATTCAATGCATAAGCTACCACATCTACTTCTACATACTTCTGTAGAGGTCTAATATGTCTGCGGGGTCTATCCTTAGCAATAGAATACCATGGTGCTGGTGATGTAGGCAAAGTAGGCAGGATATTACTATCTATCAATCCTGAACTGGACTCATCTATAGTAGACTATTCTACAACTTTTGATTGTTTCTCTAAACCAATTTCCAACTTCACCTAAGTTGAATGATTCTACTCCCCAGTTTCATCAGAATCCCCAAGAGCTGAGCCACGAACTATAACAAGTTCATCAAATACTACATTCCTACTAACAACCACTTTTCTAGTCTCTAGACACCACAACTTATATCCCTTCACACCAGATTTATACCTAAGAAAAATGCACTTCTAGCTCTAGGCTCCAACTTCCCATTATCTACATGAGCATAAGCTAGACACCCAAAAATTTTCAAATCAAAATAACAAGAAAGTTTACCTGACCATATCTCTTCTGGTGTCTTTTTATCAATGGCAACTGAGGGTGAGCGATTAACCAGAAAATAAGTTGTAGTAGCAGCTTCAGCCCAAAAAGACTTAGGCAACCCAGAATTTGAAAGCATACAACGAACATTTTCCATCCAGGTCCTGTTCATCCGTTTTGCCACACCATTTTGTTGAGAAGTTCCAAGTACTGTTAAGTGTCTCAAGATATCTTCAACCCTCTAGAAACTATTGAATTCATTTGAGTAAAACTCCAACCCATTATCAGTGCGTAGACATTTCACTTGTTTCCGGTCTGCTTCTCTACCAATATTTTACATTCCTTGAAGGTCCCAAACACATCATTCTTTTGCTTCAAGAAGAATACCCAAACTTTCCTGGAGAAGTCATCAATTACTCTCAACAAGTAATAATAGCCATATTTAGATAGTACCATGGCTGGTCTCCAAATATCTGAATGGATATATTCAAGTGTTCCCTTCGTGTTGTGTCTTCCTATAGTGAACCTGACTCTCTTCTGTTTCCCAAAGACCCAATGCTCACAAAATTCAATTTTGCTGGTCTTCTACCCATTAAGAAGTCCCCTTTTTTTCTCTTCGTGTTGTGTCTTTCTTTAGTAAATTTGACTCTCTTCTGTTTCCCAAAGACACAATGCTCACAATATTCAATTTTGCTGGTCTTCTACCCATTAAGAAGTCCCCTTTTACTCAGCTCCGCCATCTCATTCTCACTCATATGCCCGAGCCTCATATACCAAAGTTTTGTAACTTCATCATCCGTCAAAGAAGAAGTAGAAACTGCTGCATCCCCAATCATTGTAGAACCGTGCAAAATGTACAACTATATGGAGTTTTTATGCCCCTTCATGACAACAAGAGCACCCTGCTCACCTTCAAAAATTCACCTTCATCGATGTATGTGTAACCCTTTGAGTCAAGTGCACTCAAAGATATGAGATTCCGCTTCAATTCTGAAACATGTCTTACATCTGTAAGTGTTCTAACAGCCCCATCAAACATTCTGATTCTGACTGTACCAACTTCAACAATTTTGCAATGTACGTTATTTCCCATAATCACAGCACCTCTCGAAACTCCTTCATATATAGAAAACCAGTCCCTGATAGGACACATATGAAAAGTACAAGCCAAGTCAATAACCCATTTATTACAAGTTTTAGAATCCCCGTCAGAATTCACAAGAAGCTCTTCGGCACTTTGCTCATCTTCCACAACATCAGCCTCCGCTGTATTAACATGTTGCTTCCCTTTCTCTGTAGCACCAACAGCTTTATTTCTATTTTTCAAGGCGTAGCAATCAACTCTAATATGTTCATTCTTCTTACAGTAGTGACATGTCTTCTCAGCATGCCTAAACTTAGATCTGCCCCTCATATTTCTGTCAAGATTCCTATCTTGATTCCTCCCACGCACAACCAAGCGTTCAGCATGATTTCCGGACCTCCAGCAAGATGCATCATCTTCTCCTTAGATAGTAAAGCATCATAGACCTCTTCCACGATGAGAGTATCCCGACTACAGAAAATAGTATCCCAAAAAGTCACATATGATGATGGCAGTGAACACAACAACATCAAAGCTAAATCCTCATCGTCATACTTAACCTCCAATGTCTCCAAATCATCCACGATTTCTTTGAATATAGTTAAGTGATCATCCAATGACATACATTCAGACATTCAGTGAGAATACAATCGCTATTTCAAGTGTAACTTACTGGTCAAGCTCTTTGTCATGCAAAGTTGCTACAACTTCAACTACAATACAGCTGCACTCTTCTCCTTAAGAACATCTTGAAGAATTTGATTCAAAAGATGTAAATGAATTTGAGATTGGGCTTTCCGATCCCTACACCGCTTTTCATCATGCGTCCGGCAGCAAGCATCCTATCAAAGCCAAGCAAGGCTTCCTCCAATCCATTTACGCCAACACCGCTCGCGTCTTCACTTGCCATAATGTGAATCTCGTGTTTCTATTCAACAACGGAATGTCATACTTCATTGTCGCAATGCGGAACAATCAACCTTGCGCTCTGATACCACTTGTTATGAAACGGATCGCAAGATAATGACAATAATGAAATAAAGAAGAAGAAAACAAGAAGAGAAGAATTTTCGTGGAAATCCAATTCGGGAAAAAACCACGGGCAGAGGAGAACAATCCACTAAAATCAATAGTTTTGTGCTTACAATAACAAGATTTCAATAATCACAATTGAAATCTAANGCTATATATAAAACCTCTTATTTGAGTCCAAGATGGAGAAAGAATCCAAAATATGTCTTTAGCCATCCAAGAGTCCTCCTTCAAGCCAAACTCTTAATTATTATTGAAATTTAATTTTCAATCATATTATAACTCTACAAACTCAGATACCTTAGATTTCCTCCAATCAACCAAATACCAAATCACATGAAATTTGAATCACACCAAAACAACATATGATTCACACCGTTCCCAATTTAATTTTCAGCAAGCCCAAACTGGCCTGTTCAAGAAAACGAAGTCCTACAGAGGTCGTGCAGGCTTCAAGTACATCAGTTCACCAATATTTGATAATTCATTTATTTTCTAAAAAAGTATATAAAAATTTGGTTTCTTTTTTATGAAGTCGCCCACAGACCACAGGCCGTGCTCGTTGCTTTTCATTTATTATTATTTTTTTAAACACCTTCATTGCTGCATATTTATCAACTGATGAACAAAGAAATATAGTACGAGCAAATTGAAAGAACATAACATTAATTAGTAGTACATTTACTTGAGAGTGCTGTTTTTGGTTACCATTACAAAGTACAGTAAATTCTGTTAGGTCCCACAAGAAACGACACGTTCAAATCTACTGATAAATCGATACTGACTCCAAATTCAAGACTTCTCTTGTACACAGAAGCAACAATTATCTGTTAACAATGCAGAAGATGAAGTTTCCTTCTGACTAACGACAGTAAATAGAAGTTCTAATATGTTGGTCGATTCCTGAGCTGCTAAGATACGGGTCACGTTGGACGTTCAAAGACATTTCCCACCTGCATATCGAGCCATTCGACTTGTGGTCCTTGAGTATATTCTCTTGGTGCTTGTAAGCCAAAAATCATTCCAGTTGCATCAAAAGATGGTGCTGCTAACTGCAAAACAATATTTTTACTAGTCAAAAAACGTAAAGATTGACCGGCTGACGGAAATCTGCCTCGCTGCATTATTGGTTGAGTAGAACTTTATTTCACAGACATTAGACACTACTTTGAAAGAAGAGGATAGCTTTGCTCTAATAAATGTGCCGATTGCCTAGAGAACATTTTAAAAGAATGAACTTGAATGTAGCAGTATCTCAATAAGAGTGAAGGTTAAATAATTTTCTTATCACGACATTCATAAATGCCCCAAATAGCATCTGAAACTAATTCACAGTTAGAAGAATTACACTGACAAAGATATCCTCCTAAAATATGGCCACTGGCAGAAATTGAAACCGGAAGGGGCATAAAACAAAACTGGAGAAAAATGGGGCCTTTCCTTTAGACTTATTGCTCAAGTCAGAGCCAAACAAGTCTTCCGCAGTGATGCTCTGAGAAGACAGATGGATTTTTATTTAAGTCTATGCAGTATCAATCCATGCACATGATCAAGAAATTGTTTACATTGGCTAGCACTCCATGAAACCAAAGCTTTCACAAGGAACTGCGGCAAAAGAAGGTGGGACATAGGAACATCCCCCTAGTGTGTGTGTGTACAAGCATTTTTCTTCAATCTTGTGCACATTTGCTACATTTTTCAATTTCGACAGCTTTCATCAACAAACTGTGCTATGGGATGGTCCATGTTTTAAATCATGAACACAAGACCAATTTAAGTCCACAAAAGACCAAGACCATAAGAGGGTAAAGTGAACACAACGAAGAAAATTGAAAAGAAGAGGGACAAAAGGCAAGCAGTAAGTGCAGCTACTTTATGCTGTGGCCCCTGTTAAAAGAGAAACAACAAAGGTGCATATGAGTGAATTGTGGTTTCTAGCTCCTATCAGTTTCTAATAGTCATACCATAGGAAAAATGCCTATTATGAAAAAAGAGAACAAAGGACATTTGAATCCTGAGTTGCAGTGCAACTCGATTGTTCCTAAGCCCCATAAAAGAAAGACAAGCTCTTCAAGGTATCTTCAGAATTTCGTCCCTAAAAAAACCATAAAGGGCAAACTCTCAGTTTCAGGACAATTTCAGTCCCTCAACATATGTAAGAGAGTTTTGCAAAATCCTGAGAACAATAATATTAGATTTTGAATACTTCATAAAGCTATGCGACAGATTAACAGCACAAATTAACTCTTCCCGTCGTGTGCGTCTACGCTATTACATAAGATAAGTAACTTTTCTAATGAACTAAAAAGAAAACATAGCATCACTGCATAATTGAAAAGATCTCAATTTCAGAAAATACAAATATGTTTATAATGCAGCAAATATCTGTACATGGAAAGATATTATATATTTCGGTTCAATCTTAGATTCAATTATTTTATGGTCTAACCACAGAACTAAAACCTCTAGCTACAGAGCACGTGTTCTCTTATCTAAAGTACATAATTCATAAACGAAAAAGACCCAAGTGGGATAATAACTGCCATATAGTTCTGAAAAGACACGAGGGAGAAGAGGGGGGTTGTGCTGAGGGAAGCACCAGAGCAATTGTAAGAGTTCGACATAATAACATCTCCTATGTAAGCAATTAGACTTACTTCTTTGGAAGGAAACCCTTCGATTGTAGGGTTCAACCTTGTATTAACTGCTTCAAGCTTCATCGACAAAAACTAGATTATGGACATAGAGAAGTGTTAGATGGAAGAGAAAGTACCGGCAGATATTAAATAACATATGGCAAAGAGATACCTCGACTTGACGCTGTAGTGACTGGATGTAATTAATTATTTCATCAAGAACAAGAGCTTTTCCAATAACCTGAAGAAGAAATTTTCATTCATCATTATGTTGTTCCAAAGGAACACTAAACCACAATGAAATCAAACCGGAAATCAAACATAGACAGCAAACTCCCTATGGGTATACATGAAATGGAACTTTGACTTCACATTGAACTCAATTGACGGTCAACATGGACGCCAAAGCATCCAATTCACGTCAAGAATCATCACAAAACCAAACCAAACAAGGGTAGAAAAGCAGACCTTATTACATCCAGGAACTAAGTCTTGCAGAATTTTCATCCTCTCGCTGATCTTTTCTCTCCGAGCCTAACAATAGATGATAGAAATCAGAAACTATGTCACAGACAGATGCTATCAAAAACTCAAAGCGCATATGTGGCATGCACTAGTAAATAGGATTGGACAGTATAAAGAAAAAGATTTAAACTTCTTTTTCTTCGAAAGGTTTAAAAGGGTATTACTCTCTCAGCTAGACTGTGGCTATCGGTGGCTTGGCCCCTTCTCGCTCTAACGTGGATGTAATCTTTGGGTGGCTCGGGTTTACTCTTCTCTTCAGCTCCCTTGTTACTAGTCCCTGAATTTGCTTCTGCTTCCGTCTTTGAGCCACCATTTTCATCTATGGATCCTGATGGTTTCATTCGTTTACCATTCCGCTCATTCTATCCCACAAAGAATAAATAGTTTACAACCAATATTCTAATTCAATTAATCGAAATTCGCCAGTTAACAACTAAAATTAACAGTCTCAACTTTCTGAAAAATGTAAAAACTATCCCAGATAAACAAAAAACTTCTACAAATTAAAAAATCAAAGGCAAGAGCATCAAAGTGTGTATCGAGAATAACCAAATCACTGTTAGCACTGCTAGTGGAAACAAGCTTAGAGGACTCATCTTCATGAAAATTCCCAATATCCATTCTTCTCTTCCCAACGCCCCCGCCGCTCTGGTCCGTCACGGTGGATTCCTCAACCGAAGCATCTCCTACTCTAAAAACTTCTCCAGTGCCACCAAAACTCCCCATTCTCAGCCCCAATCCTCCTCCTCCACTGCCCATCGGAAAGGACAGTAACTCAACCAAACTATACGAAGCTGGATTGAACCCTGCTGTAAATGAAGCTTCATTTGTCAATGGCGGATCCATTTTTTTCCCAAACAAAAAAATTATCTAGTTACTTATATATACACTTACTGTATAAATCTTTATAAGGTTGTGTGTAAATGCAGAGAAGAGATAAATATAAAGAAAGAAGTATAGTAGTAGTACAGTGACTACTACAGTGCTACTCGTAGAAGTGGTCGCAGAGATAGAGAGATATATAGAGCGAGAAAATAGATAGAGACAGTGATGTGAGGCAGAGGAAGGAGATAGGGTGGGGTGCGGTAGGTCGCATTGCGCTTAATGCGTATTTTAGTGAGAATCTCCTTCATCTTTGATACATGTACATCAAAGATTTTATTAAAGGTGATTTGATTGATGAAAATTGTTTAATTTTCACCCACCAATTACATAATGTCACATGTACATTATGTAAACTAACATTTAGGCCATGTCTGTCCCAACTTTTGAGCTGACTTTTAATCTATTATTTGACCGTTGAGCAGCCATTATGGACCATTCCTCTCATAGGTTGGGCCCAAGTACAGGAAAGAAACGGTCAAATTTTAGCTGAAAAACTGGGGCAAACAGGGCCTTAGTGTACAAGTAAAATAGTCCTATTTCTTTTTGGGTAAATCTGAGGGGTTATTCTTAATTATAGTAACTGGACTTTAATATGCTACAAATTTAACACCAAACCGTATAAAATGCATTAGTCAAGCTACTCGATTAATCAATTGTTTATCATGTAATAGTCTGATGTGGACAAACAGTTTGACGACACGAACATTATGAAAATAAAACCAAACAATCAATCGAGAATCCTAAGCAAACGTTGGAAGAGGGTTCCTTAAATTGAGGTTCTTGGTTGGTTTAATTCGTGAGATTTGATTTGATTTGATTTTTTTTCTTTTTTGTTGAAGCTCAAAACCAAGCCTATAATTTATTTTACATCATTGTTGAACTTTACAAAATGTGCTATCAAGCCACTCGGTTAATTAACTATCTATTATTGAACAAAAAAGTTAGCATGGACAAACAGTTTGACGAGATGAACTTTATAAGATAACGTTGAATAGCGAATCAAGAATTCTAAGTTATTTTTGAAAGAGGGTTTTGAAATTGTGGTTTATGGTTGGTTTGATTCATGAGATTTGGGATATTTATTTTGAAATCCAAAACCATGCTTATAAAATATTGTAAAATGCTTTTATACAATGGACACGAGATTTACTCGAGTCGTATTGACTGGACTTGTCGTTAAACCACCTGTCAATGTTGACTTTTTGTAAAATATTAGATGGTTGATTTACCTTGTGGCTTGACTGATAAGTTTAATAAAGTTTGGTGACGGCTTTGAAATAAATTAATGTTCATTGTAGTTTAGAAAAACAAATTAAAGTGCGCATTGCGCTTAATGTGTATTTTACTGGTAGGGTTGGAACTTGGAAATATTACCTCTCTATTTTGCTAATTAATATTTATTAATTATCTATTTAAGAAAATGAAATTTTCTTTATTTATCCATTTCATGTTTTAGATTAAAATCTCCACAAGTGGAAAAAGTTCATGACCCAATTACATATTTACAAAAAATAACCTTCAAATAAAAAAAAATGCACGGTTATGTATTTTATTAATATCAAAATAGAAAAATACGAAACTTTGAACAGAGAATTATGTCCGACCTCCAAATAAAACAAGAAAAAACCCGTTCAATAAATCTATCTCGAGTAAGAGTACGCTTGTATTGTTTGGCCCCTTTCTTCTGTTTTACTGAAATTAGGTTTTATAAAATGAAAGGGCAAAAAAAATATGTAATTAGTGCCGTAGTTGAAGTTCTAATAATTGGGACGGAAGTAAGTTTAGAAGATTTAGTACCGACCATACTTCAAGGTGAAAATTATTCATAAATCATAATGTTTCAGTTCACTCGCTCTTTGAAAGTGGTTTTTGCGTTAAAAACGGTTGTGCTACATGTACATAATGATTTACATACACATGATGTTGTAAGATATGATTGAATCAGAATTTTTTCAATCAAATAAAAAAATAAACTTCTCCTACCTCTTTTTCACACATTATCTATTTGTAAATCATTATGTAACTCTTTGTGTACGAGTAACATTATTCAAAAAATATATACTAAAGTGTGTGTGACTCGTTTATAGACAATTATACAACTTGAAGTTTCAATCAATTAGAAATACAAGATTATGTTAGGATATATGGAGCAATTAATACACATTATACTATTAAAAATGAAAAGGTATCAAATTTTCTTTATTATTATAGTATATTAACCACTTGTCTCGTTCCTTTTCAAGAAATAATATTGAAAACACTTATTGATTAAGCAATTCAATAAAAGAGCTCGATCAAATCGGTTTTGATAATCAATAAAAGAGCTCGGATCGAATCGGTATCGATATATCAATACCGATTTGATCGAGCTCTGATGTATTCAAGTAACAACATTTGTATCTTAAAGAAGAATCTTTATTATTTTGTGAGGTTAATCGATGCTCATCATATCAATAATTAACGGAGGAGAGATGTTTTGTCTAAAAAAAAATTCCTCGCTAATTTGAATAGCACCTGGTAAGCTACAATTTTGTACAAGACTAAAAAAAGATAAAGTGTACTGTAAAATTTATCAATTCCACGGTATACTTATTACTTAGGTTAGTCATATCAAATTCGGCGAGATAGACCACCGAGGATGAGTTTCTTTTCTTTTCATTTTTATTTATTTATTTTTTAATGTTTCCTCTATTTTGCTAATTAATACCTATCAGTTATCTATTTTAGAAAATGAAATATTCTTTATTAATATATTAATGTTTTAGATAAAAATCTCTATGTTAAAATATCCACGACCCAATCAAATATTTACAAAATGTAACTTGAAGAAAACCCATGTTTATTTTCTTTACTTTACTTTAAGGGTCCGTTTGATTGCAATAGTGAAATTTGGGTTGAAAGAAAATGAATTCTAATGAATTAAATTGTCTAAAATTATTTTTCGGGGAATTGTCAATTAATTGTATTTGATTAGTTAGATTTTTTGGTGTTCGTTTGATTTTGTTTTGTATGAAAATTGTCCATTAAATGGATAGAATTTGTTACAATTGGGATATAATTTATTTCCATTGCTAAAAACGATTAAAAAAAAGTGAAAAACCATTTTCCCACCAAAATGATGGGAAAACAAATTCAACGAAAACTAAGAAAAGGAGGTCACGTGGGGGTTGGGTGGAAAACCAATTCTAAAGAAAATTTTGCCTATAAAACATTGTAAAAGATGGAAAATGGAAAATAATTTCCATGTTCCATGGAAAATGAAAGATATCAAACATGGCCTAATTTATTTTTCATATTCAACCACCATACATTCACACAGTAAAATAGGGAAAATTGCAGCCGTAGTACTAAACATTTTACTCTTTTGCAGACTTTGCCCAAACCTTTGATTTGTACCACAAACCTTTAAAAAATTCGCATCTACAGTACTCATTGACAGTTTCCGTCCGTTTGACCACGAAAATCGTTAGTTGTCCCCAGAATTCAAAAAAAATAATTTCCAACAAATACGCAATAGCAATTTCGAAATTACACTATTTCCCTTTTAAAATGAAAAAATGCCAGTTACACTCCAATTCATCATCCATTATGGAACCTCTGAAAACGCACAAAGAAGAAGACGATGGCCATGAAGAAGAAGATGAAATTCAATCAAATTTTGGAGCTCATATTCAAGGCTCGCTTCCCCAACCTGTATACGGTAAGCGTGCACCCTGAAATCCCTATTTGCACTATGAAACAATGCGATTGCAAGCCGTATGTATATTTTGTCGTCCAATACTGGAAAATGTAAAAATTTTACATGAATTGAAAACTTGGAAGTTATCGTGCTGTGTAATCTATAGTTCTGTATCTGTGCATTGCTTGAACAAATAAGGGTTAGGGCTTGATTTTTTTTTTCGTTTTCATTTTTTCATGGGAAAATACGAAGTATTTTAGCATGTGCATACATCATGGTGGAACTTTGTTGGGAAAGATGACAAATTTCGTGTACGAGCATGGCAACGTAAGTTACATAGACTATGTCGACTCAGACTTCTTCAACAGATTTCTGCTTGACAATGCTAGGAAGATGATGGGATATTCTGGTATAGTTAGATACCTGTACAAGATGGAAAAGATGAGGATTAGCGAGACATAATTCTGGTTGGTAAAAGACTCAGATTTCATGAATGTGGTGAAATGGCTTGGTGAAAAGAGGATTGCTAAAGTGTATTGCTTGCTGGGTCGAAGTATTGGAGTTGCCATGGTATGAAAATATTGTGGTTGATTGTGAGACTGGGGAGGAGTTGCTACATTTAGAAGAGTTTAGTGGGCATGAGGCACCATTGGTCGAGGATCAATCGTACTATGCTGTTGAGGTTTATGATGATTCATTAGAAGGTGATGAGTCATACATTGTCGAAGAAGTAAATGATCTGCAGCATGGTCAATCAGAATTAGAGCCTGGTGAAACTGATGTTCATGCTGATGAAACTCATGTGCAGCATAGTGAATCAGATGTGAATGTTGGTGAACCTGGAGTGCATCATGATCAATCAGAGGTGCAGGTTGCACTAACTGAAATGGAACATGGTAAATCATTGGTGTAGTCGGGGACAATGAAGTGCAGCAAGGTGAACCACATTGTGATGTGCAACCAGAAGAAACTGAGGTGCAATAGAGTGTCCCAGAGCAACCGGAAGAAACTGAGGTGCAACAGAGTGTACCAGAGCAACCAGAAGAAACTGAAGCACATATTAACACTGAAACAGATAAATATGAAGAGGGTTATTTGGAGGATTTCCATCACTCGGAGTATGAGCACAAAGAAAACATACCCATAGATGATGATAAAACCACAGGTTTCAGGTTGAGTGAAGGGTTTGGGATTGACATAAATAGTTGAAAGAGTGAACATGATGGTGAGGCAGCTCCTGAAAAAGAAGTTGGAACAGATTATGACGACTCAGATGAGCTTG